ATAAAACTGAAAATCAAGAATAAAGGTAACATTGAAAATTATTTTACACCCAATCAAAAAGAAATTAAAACCTGGGTGCAATAGCCCATGCCTATAATTCCAGCAGTTTGGGAGGCTGAGGTCAGAGGATCAAGAGTTCAAAGCTAGTTGCAGCAAAAATGAGGTGCTAAGCAACTCAATGAGACCCGGTCCCTAATTAAAATACAAAATAGGGCTGAGGATACTAAACAACTCCATGAGACCCTGTCTCTAAACAAAATGCCAAATAGAGCTGGTGATGTGGCGCAGTGATCAAGTGCCCTTGAGTTCAATCTCCCCAGTTTCCCCACCCCCTCAAAAAAAGAAGGAAACTGAAAATAAAATTTATTGAGACACACAAAAGCTTCACTTAACAGAGGATTTATAACCTAAATGTTTAAGTTATATCAGAATTATTGAGAATAAAATTGAACAATATTGACCTAACTGCCTGCATATAAGGCAAATAGATGTAGGGTTTTTGTTCTATAAAACCAATATTATAAATAATTTGTTATACATTGCAGTTAATTTTAATATTCAGCAGTTTTGTAAGTAAAGCGGCATGGTCACAATCTTTCTCCAACAACCAGAATGAGCCCAAGCTATGACATCTGACTGGACTGTGATCCCTGGTAAATATTATTGGCAAAAAAAAAAATGAAGTTTAAAAGAAAAAGAACTCTTGGACAGAAAAAATAATAAAGGTATATAACCAAGCTAAAAGAATGATAAGAAACTTAGTAAACTGATGTTTTGAAAAAATAAATCAGTAAACAAAAATAGAGATGAGCAGATACTGATAACACAAAGTAGAAGCAATGGGTTTCAGTAGCCACTCTTATCTAAAGTCTTACTTTCTGCATCTTTAGTTACCCATAGTGAACAACATTCCAGAATTATTAGATGGAAAATTATAGAAATGAGAAATTCGTTATTTTTTATTATTTAAATTATTGTATTTTATATTTAGTTATTGTTGTTAGTCTCTTATTGTGCCTATTTTATAAATTAAACTTTATAATATGTATGTATGTAGAGAAAACATAGCATATATAGGATTTAATGTTACACATGGTTTCAGAAAATCATGTGGGTCTTAAGAGGAGACATTGTATGAAATATTAGAGTAGAAATACTGAGAATTAAAAATAAAATAGCTTAAAATCAAGAGCTAACCAGAGAGGAAAAGCAGCCAAAGCCTGGATGAATGGCCTACAGTTTTAGGCTGAGTAACTTTTTTAGAAGGCCTTCAAAAAAGTAATAAAAAGTTGGAAATTACAATCAATTTAACTTAAGAGGTGAAAGTCCTTTATAATGAAAACTACAGAATGCTAAAGAAAGATGTTGAAGAAGACCCTAGAATATGGAAAGATCTCCCAAGCTCATGCAGAGGCAGAATTAATATTGTCAAAATGGCCATACTACCAAAGCATTATACTGATTTAATGCAATTCCTATTAAAATCTCAATGACATTCTGCATAGAACTAGAAAAAGCAATCATGAATTTCATTTGGAAAAATAAGAGACCCAGAATAGCCAAAGCAATCCTTAGCAAGAGAGTGAAGCAGGAGATACAAAAATACCATACCTTAAAGTATACTACAGAGAAATAGTAACAAAAATGACATGATATTGGCACCAAAACAGACATGTAGACCAATGATACAGAATAGAAGACTCAGAGACAAACCCACATAATTACAGTTGTCTCACACTAGACAAAGACACCAAAAACATACATTGGAGAAAAAAAATAACCTCTTCAACAAATGGTGCTGGGAAAACTAGAAATCCATATGCAGCAAAATGAAATTAAACCCCTATCTCTCACCAGGCACAAAAATAAATTCAAAGTGGATCAAAGACTTAAGCAGTAGAACAGAGACCCTGAACCTAACAGAAGAATAAGTAGGCCCATATCTTCCTTGTGTTGGCTTAGGACCTAACTTTCCTAAAAAGACTTCTATAAGTGCAAGAAGTAAAATTAAGAATCAATAAATGGGATGGACTCAAACTAAAAAGCTTCTTCTCAGCAAAGGAAACAATTAATAATGTGAGGAGAGAGCCTACAGAATGGGAAAAAAAAATCTTTATGCATGCACCTCAGATAGAGAACTATTTCCAGGATATAAAAAGAACTCAAAAAACTTAACACCAAAAAAATAAAATAAAATAACCCAATCAATAAATGGGCTAAGGAACTGAACAGACACTTCACAGAATAAAAAACACAATTGATCAACAAACATGAAAAAATATTCATCATCTCTAGCAATTAGAGAAATGCAAATCAAAATTATTCTAAGATTTCATCTCACTCCAGTCAGAATGGCAATTATCAAGAATGCAAGCAATAATAGGTGTTGAAGAGGATGTGGGGGAAAAGGTACAATTATACATTGCTGGTGAGACTGCAAATTAGTGCACCATTAGGGAAAGCATCATGGAGACTGTTCAGAAAACTTGGAATGGAACCACATTTGACCCAGCTATCCCAGTCCTCAGTTTACACCCAAAGGACTTAAAATGAGCATACTACAGCAACACAGCCACATGAATGTTCATAGCATAGCAACTCATGATAGTTAAACTAAGGAACCAACCTAGATGCCCTTCAATAGATGAATGAATAAAGAAAATGTGGTATATATACACAATGGAATATTACTCAGCTTTAAAGAAATGAAATTATGGCATTTGTAGGTAAATGGATGGAGCTGGAGAATATCATATTAAGAAAAATAAGCCAATCCCAAAAAACCAAAGGCTGCACATTTACTGTTGATCCATAGTGGGATGGTTAGGGAAGAATGAAGGAATTTTGGATTGGGCTGAGGGAAGCAAGGGGAGGGGAGAGTGTGTTGGAGTGAGAAGGACAGTGGAATGTGATGAACATTATTCCTCTACATACATGTATGAGTACACTGTGGGTGTGACTCTGTACCATGTACAACCAGAGGAATGAGAAGTTGTGCTCCATTTGTGTACAATGTGTCAAAACATATTCTACTGTATTGTATAACTAATTAGAACAAATTAAAAAATAAAAATAAAAAAATAAATTAAAGAAGTGTCCATATATTTAAAATAAGGTTTCTGAAAAATAGGTGTAAGTAGAGAGAACAAATTATTTAAAGAACAATCATCTAGGATTTCTAATCTAAGGTTATTCTGAAAAAATTAAAGAATGGTTAAATATCAGATAATCCATCAATATTATTCATTAATTAATAGATCAAGGAAAAATAATATTATCTCAATAGATTTGGCCCAAACAAGGAAAAACTTTTGCCATCAGATCATTGTCTAAAACTGTTGTAAAACTAGAATAGAAACTTCCTCAACTTGATAAAAACTATATACATAGGTCTCTATAGCCATCATACTTATTCAATAAATTTAGTGAAATAAAAAGCAGGATGAAGACAAGGGTATTTGATACAATTAATATTCTTAAACATTATATTAGACCTTCTGGCCAATGCATAAGAAAAAAAAATTATGCATGAGCTAAAAGGCAAGAAACTCTATTAATTTTAAATTCTATATTTCCATAGAAAACTTCACAAAATGAATAGTCAGAACTTACTAAACTGAAAAACAATAAAATTTTTTATTATCTATTATGAGAACTTTAAGTGAATAAGAACTTTATAGATAAAATGTTGAAACTACTCTTAAAAAACCACAAATTCAGATGAAATAGCAAGCCAACATAAAAAAAAATCAGCAGGGGCTGGGGATGTGGCTCAAGCGGTAGCGCACGCGCCTGGCATGCGTGCAGCCTGGGTTCCATCCTCAGCACCACATACAAACAAAGATGTTGTGTCCACCAAAAACTAAAAAAAATAAATATTAAAATTCTCTCTCTTTCTCTCTCTCTCTCTCTCTCTCTCTCTCTCTCTCTCTTTAAAAAAAATCAGCAGAATCAAAAATTCCAATTCCACCTCCTTTGAAAAATATGAGTAAATTCCTGTAGAACTGATCTAGAAAAATGAGAAAAGGCACAAATAACAATGTTAGGACTGAAAAAACAATTATCATATGCACATACTACATACCATATACATGTTCTGCCACAGATATTTATTAGTTAATAAGAGAAGTTCTTTTAAAAAAATTACCAATGATTTGAAAAGATGATCTAGAACAACACAACTTATCAAAATGAATGAAAATGGAAATAAAAAAAGTTTGTATTTGTCCAATACAGAAATTGCATCTGCAAATAAAAATCTTGTCTGTGGAAAAATATAGGTGCTGATTGTTTCAATGAGGGCATTCTAACAAAATTTAAGGAGCCACAGAGTAGAATGAGAATATAGAATATTTATGATATACTTGATCAAGATCTCATATTTAAATATTCAAAGAATGCTTACAATTCATTAAAGAAAACCGAAGAGAAAAGTTGTCAATAGGAACTCCCAAACAATATATATATATATTTACCAATGACCTTATGAAAATGTGTACAAAATCCAAAATCTTAGGGGATCAGAGAAACTTACACTAAATCTTTTTTTTTTTAATATTTATTTTTCAGTTGTAGTTGGACACAAATAAAAATAAAATACCTTTATTTTTTTATTTATTTGTGGTGCTGAGGATCAAACCCAGGGCCTTGCACATGCTAGGCGATTGTTCTGCCACTGAGCCACAACCTCAGCCCCCACTAAATCTTAATTGAGATATTACTACACACCTAAGATGTTACTACAAATCTAAGATGTTTCAAATTCAAAGACATAGTATCAATATTGGCAAGGATTTAAGCAACTTAGAAGCCTATATATTGCAGAAGTATATAGTATACACTGCTCCAGCCACTATAAAACGTGTTTTGAATTATCTATTGCATTTGAATATGATTTAGCAACTTCATACCTAAGTATTGATTCAGCACAAATTCATGAACATACAATAAAAATAGATAAAAATTAATATTCATAGTCTCAAAGTCGCAACTCCATCTATAGCACTTGTACATGTTTTTGTTTAACTTGTGGACAAGAACTTATAGACAAATGCAAAAATGAAACCTCTTTTGTAACCAAGACACATTGTTCAATGTGAATTTTGGTACATAGAAGCAGAAATACTATACCTTAAGAAAGCTTAAAGTTATGGGATATTGTTAACTAAAAAGGCTTTTATTTTTAGAAAATGATACATGGAGATAAAGCTGTATTTTACTGTGTTTGGATCATGTTATTTTAACTCTTCTATTGACATATATCCCACATCTGTACTATTCCTGAGGATGATAATAGGAATGAATACAATTTGAACTCATTGATTTTTAGAGAAAGTATCAATATTGAGAACCAGGTAGATTCATCCAGTTCCAAAGTGGTCCTAAAGTTAATTACTTGAAGAAATTAGATCCCAAATATCATAAATAGTGAAATCATCATCAGTATGTCCGTAATTCAAGTGGAAGTAGAAGTCCCCAAAAAAGGAATGGTGGTCACGTGCGACAACTAGATCAAGCATTGGTTCTTTTTAAAAGGGCATCCTTCAGATGAACAGCAAAGGAATCACAATGAGAAATTCCTTAAATAAAAATGTATTGACTTTAAATTTAGAAAAAAGCAACTCCATCTATAAACAATAGAATGGAAAGATAAGATTTGTTTTATTTAAAAAATAAAATCTCCAAAACAATGAAAATAGACAATTGATAACTATATTCAACAGCTTGGATGAGTTTCATAAATAAAATTTTGAGTGAAAGAAGTCAGATGAGAGACAATGCATGATGTGTGATATATTTCTACAGCTGAAATAAGAAAAGCCATTCTGTAGTGCGTGAAGTCAGTACAGTGATTGACCTTTGCTCAAGCAGAGTGGGAGAGGATTTGGTCAGTCAGTACAGGAGGAATAGTTAGTAATGTTCACTTGCATGGGCAGGATGTTAAACTGGCTAGTTTATTTTGTGCTTTTATTTATGCAGACATTCAGTAAGAGATAAAATTTAAAATTGATTCTTTAAAAATAATTAAAGGAATATGAAATATTATCTAATTGGGAATATCTATATGTAAAGCTATATTGAGCAAGAAAAGGTTCTTAGAAGTCATGTAAGTTAAAAGCATAATTTACTAATAAAAATTAAAACTTTTCAATGACAAAAATCTCTATAAACAAATTCAAATAGAATATACTAGACCAGGACAAGTATTTACAATGCATAAAATTAAGTTTTAATCTTCTGGTACATATAAATAACAAAACCTAATTCATCATCACAGGTCCTTCCTAATAGAAAAATGGTAAATAATAATGACAGTAACTCATGACATATATTCAAAAGGTCAGTAAGCATAAAATGTTCTTTAATCTCACTTATATATGGAAAGATGCATACTAAAATGGCCCAAATAAAAATTATAATATCACTTTGGATATTGGTTTCTTAGTGCTTACTAAAATAAAAATGTGTCCATCTTTTATCCTTACAAAATCATTTTTGAAAGTCCATTCCATAGAAGTCACATGGCTATATGCCCAAGTATGTTTATTTCAGCATTGTTGGTAGTAACAAAATATTGTGAAGGGAGGAAAATCTCTAAATATCCTATACACACTCATATATATATATATATATGATTGAATAAATCATATAATTCTATGTAGTTATTAAAACAAATGTATTATTATTAACTATATTGATCTGGATAGATTTCAAGAACATATGGATTATGTAAAAAAGCAAATTGAAAAATTACTATTTTCTTATTAAAAACAATTCAAGAGCAACAATAGCAAAAAGTCAAAATGCACATATTGCATATAAATTTGTAAATATTTATGAGCAAAGAAAACATGTGAAAGAAAACACCATGCTATTAGCACAATGCCTTGGTTTAGATTTTTTTTATTATTCTTTTGGTGACTCATTGATGTTTTTATGCAAGACTAATGTGGACATTTGGAATTGATAGATTTTATTATCATCTAGGAAAAGCATGGCACATTTCGAAGAACTCTTCATAGCTGTTGAATCTTCTTGGTGACAGTTTTACTCTATCTGGCATGTTTTCTTCTATGTCTATTTCACATTTTTATGATAATGAGTATCTTTGAAGCACTTGTTTAATCTTTTTCAAGTTTTGCTGGCTTGACCAGAAAAATAGCACTTTTTTGGAAAGTGTGAAATCAGACACTTCCTTAAGGAGCTGCATTTTGATGATCATTTCGTTTTGTCCCAAGGAGTAAGGGCCAAAGATGTAAACTGAATGCCTTGGCTTTCAATTTAAATAAAAGTAACTACTACAAATAGCACCAAAGGCATTTCATCAGTTTTTATAAGGTATTCTCAATATTATATATATATATTTATTTAGTGTTGCAAAACACTAAATGATAAATTAGATCCATATAACCTGTGGGTTTTTAAATTTTTATTTTCATTTTTTGGAAAGCTAAAATATAATTTTGTAAATCCAGAAGGATGGCACATTTCTTCATTTTGCTAATTAGGTATAAAATAGTTTTCTAGAAACAATATGATTCTGCATTTCTTGGATGTCTTTTAATAGTAAATACATTTTTACATCTTTTTTTTGTAAGAAACTGTATTATGTGTGTTAGTGTTTTCTTATTTGAACATGTGTTTCGGAAAGTGGTCTGCATAATGAGGTAAAGGATTCAGTAAATGAGCCACTTAGGTCAGGCTGCTATAACAAATTAGTCTAGTCTAGGGGCTTCAACAACAAATACTTATCTCTCATAGTTCTTGAGGCTACAAGTCCAAGATCAGGATGCCAGCATGAACAGATTCTGGTGAGTCCTCTTCGACATTTCAGGCAGCTGGCTTCTTGTATTCTGGCAAGGGAGAAAGAAAGAAAGGAAGGAAGGAAGGAAGGAAGGAAGGAAGGGGAAAGAAAGAAAGTTATTTCTCTAGCCTCTCCATTTGAAGGTATTAATTACTTCCCAAAAGACCCATGTCAAAATGCTGTTGCTTGGGGGGTTGGATTTTAACATATGAATCATGGCATAACATAATGCACTCAATTAACAGGTATCCTTTTCTCTGTTTTCTTGTACTTGGTTATCATCATCATCATCATCACCATCATCATCATCATCACCACCACTACCTCAAAGTCTAAATGATGAGAAGCAACTATTTTGGGGGCTGAGAATGATTAACATTGCAGCAGTTACTGATAAGTTGTTATTTTGCCAATGATTGCTGTCTTTATTTCAAAAAGAAATGCAGTTAGATCACAATCTTCAGAAAAGTATGACTTAGAGTTGATTTTAGTGGTTCATTATCATTAATGGATTTTAAATAAATGTAATACAGATGTATTCCTTTCAGATAATTGGCAGATATGGATTTATTAATGGAACTTATTGACAGAATTATTATTTGGGGTTAAGGATTCAGTGTGATAATACTATTTGTTGTACAGTAAGTGTGCATTGAGTGATATTTCACCAACTAAGCAAATCTTACTTACTATTCAGGCATTGCTCAGGTTTAAACATGAACACAGAGACACTGAAAATGCTTTTTTAAATGCATAAACATTCAAAATCTTAAAATAATAAAATATGCACAATTATTCCACTAACTTCATTGTAATCTTTTCAATAATTTTCTCTTCCTACTATTACATGTATCTCTATTCTTTATTTTGGTGGACTGATTTTTTTCCCCCATATAGTCAAATTTCAGCTCTTTTTACATGTAAACACTATTATGTTAATGGTTTATCCTTGAATTTTACTTCCATCACATTACTAATTGGGATTTTTGCTTTGTAGATGTTTTCAAATTAAAGATGTGGCTTTTTATCTGACCATTTATCCAGTTTATTAGTAAACTATGTTGGTACATGGAATAGCTTCTCAAACTTATATACCTGGGTATTCGACGTACCAGCACAGTTGGTACATGATGCTTGGGGTATATTTGAGGGTTTCTGTAGTATGGATTTGTGCTATTCTGTCACAACAATGCTTTTGTTATAAGTATGCATCTCAGGCAGTGGGCCACAAAACCCACTGATGATTTTTACGTATACATATAATTAGATTTTTATGCTATTTATTGAGTTAAAACACTGAATAAAGCATTAAAAGTGTGGCTTTCAAAGGTTTTCTAATGAAACCATGGACTAAACATATTGCCAACAACATAAGCTCAAGTAAATAAAAATAAGACAGAGGTTACCTCCTCAAATTTGGAAAGGAGTTTAAGAATAATAAAATTACATGAGGAAATCAGATAAAAAAACTAAACTGAGAAAATTTATTGAATGTGGATTTAAAATAAGTCATTTGAAATTTTTCTTAAATATAAAGTGTACCTTGAGTTATTAACTCTTAACAGAAATATATATTTAAAACTTAGGAATAAAAATATACATATTGGGGATGCATACTATAAAATTATATACTGGCGAATGGTACAAATAAAAACACTCGGAGGCCAGTTCATAATGAACTATGACTTCTGGTTTACTGTCAGCATTCCCTCTGAAAATACTGAACTTTCTAATGTTGGGGATTTTCTAGCCTGTAGAATAACATCCACTAGCATTTGAGACATTTTTAATACCTTATTCAATAATTTAGGTTATTCAAAATATAAATACATAGGCCATTGAGGAACTTAATGGTTTGTTAACAAGTAATCAATAAGTGGTAACTATTTTTTCAACACATACAATACTATTCCCTATAGAAATGGTTGTCAGTGTACACTTGAGGTCAATGAGTTTCCAGTATCTACTTTCTGAAAATTGAATGGTGATTTTGCTGGACTAAAACTAATGTCTCATGTATGATTTTTGTATTTTAATTTCCAGTGTCATCATTTCTATGCATCCTTTCTTCTGACTCATAGTAGGCTGTCTGCTCATCTTGCACACTCTGAGCATTCTTCCCCCACAGCATCACAATGAGATATGTATGAAATAATAAAATGTATCAAAGTTGACAGGCAGCATATTCTGAAATTTAGGCTATCTTGGGGAAAAGGTTTTAATTAAATAATTTGTGTGTGTGTGTGTGTGTGTGTATGTGTGTGCTGGGGATTGAACCCAGGGCCTTGTGCATGCAAGGCAAGCACTCTATACCAACTGAGT